GCTCTTTTCATTTAGGTGCGAAGCCATGTCTACGTACCCGAGAACTTATGACTTCATACATGCTGATTCTGTTTTCAGCCTCTACCAGGACAGGTAACCGTTGGATGGTTCATATTCCTCCTCGAGCTATCATTGAGTGTTGCATGTTTTATTGATTTATGTTTATGTATGCAGATGTGAAATGGAAGATATATTACTGGAAATGGACAGAATATTAAGGCCACAAGGCAGTGTAATTTTCCGAGACGACGTAGATGTTTTGGTAAATGTGAAGAGCATAGTAGATGGACTACAATGGGATAGCAGGATGGTTGATCATGAGGGTGGCCCTCATGTTAGGGAAAAGCTTCTAATTGCTACTAAGCAGTATTGGACAGCACCAGCCCCTGACCAAGATAAACAACCTTCATAGGCATCATTGAATCTTCTATAGTTTTACAATCTGGCCAATTCTTTACTTCCTTTGTTGATAATTTTTGTTTGTTCAGTGGGCTCTTGTGATTTTTCATTGACCTCTCTATCTTTTTGGCTTCAAAATAAACAAGAGGATATTGAGGTTTTCCCCTGAGATTACTCTTTTTACTATTTGGCGTTCGAACCGGCTTGTGATATTTTACTTTACGCTCACTCTTTTACATTTTGAAATGTAAAATTTGGATAGAGACCAGTTTTTATTTGATAGAGTTAAAATGACTACAATGGTTTTCTTCTACTATCAACATCTCAACCATTATACATTTTGATTGGATGGCTTGTGAGATTTTACTTTTATGCTTACCATTATACAATTGGATCCTTGCTAGTGGTCCAATCGCTCTCTTGTGTTTCAATTTTATCGTGTCACAAAGTCAAACATTAAGAGTCCGTTTGGCCAAGCTGCCAAAATCTGCTTATTTTGAAAAGTACTTTTGTTAGAAGTACTTTTTTAAAAGTACTTTTGAAAAAAAACTGTTTGTGTTTGGCCAATTCATTTAAGAAGTACTTTTTGGAACATTTGATAATAATTTGTGTTTGGCCAATCATTTCAAAAAGTGCTTTTGAATATCA